GAAGCTTCGACGGGATTACAGCGATGGTAAGAGAAGGCTTAGCAGTCGTAGGATCCGGCAGGTCAGCAACAGACTCATGTCATTCATTGCATTGCCATGGTACATTGTCCAGAGGTATGACGTGATTTTTCTTTAGATGCTTTTCCATGGTGCTCACTTACACTTTCTGATTTCCCCGAGAATAGATATTGTGATGCTTTTCCACTAGGAATCATGGAAGTGGAAGATGTTATGAAGTCACGTCAGGTCCAGGAAACCCAGCGGACAACATCAGATACCGCCCACCAACCGAGCTCCTTCCGCAGACCTTTTCATCTCGCACCCCACCATCCACCTGACTCGTGCTTCCGGCCATGTCTTTGGCTCTGGGCGGCCTGCCAAGCGTGCTGCCAGCGGACAAGCTGGCGGAACTCAAGGAGACCGCGGGGAAGCTCTGCGCGCCAGGCGCGGTGGTGAAAAACTCAGTTTGAAATCGAAATTGTGTAATGCCAAATCTACATTTTTCATGAGCACTTGGACAAAAAACGTGGTACCAACCGGTTGTAAACTGCAACCTCTCAAGCCCACTTCAGATATTTGTGTGTCAAGTTGTTGGCGGCCAAGTGTCCAAGACCGAAGTTGATAGTGTCCAAGTATGCCCAAGTGTACAAGCTTTCTGCATCTTGGGGCCATGTGACCAATGTGGGTACACCATGCAGTTCACAAGAGCATCAATTTTCGGGGTACCATTATATCGCAAGGTTTGGCTCCCACTAGGCACTGGAGCGTCCCCCCAGTGCGATCCAATTTAGTGCATGGGCAGCAGAGATTCTTTTTGCCGCGAATGAGAAATGAGAAACCATCAAATCGTAATGTCGTAAACCAATTCTTGTCTTGACCTAATTGTTTGCTTTGCGCCACCGAGGCAAAGGTTTCCTGGCCGCCGATGAAAGCGCCGGGCCCTGGCTCAGGGCACGACACGTAGAAGCGGCAAAGATCCCAGACACTAAGCGGCAAAGCATCACTGGGGTGATGGGCTTAATCTTTATCTCAAAATTTTGACTTTTTAGATATTAGTTGCTGGGTTTATATAATTAATCATAAGATATGTTTTGTCTTTTCCATCACAGATAGCTTTTGAGATCTTTGATTGAGGATCGGATGGGACTTATACTTGTTCTGTTTTCTTGGGTTGTGGCGCTGTGACATGTGGCATGCGAGGATGTGGCCGAGAACAGAGCAGAGTATCGGTCTATGTGCTTCGCAACTCCGGGCTTGAGCGAGCACATCGGCGGAGTGATCCTCCACTGGGAGACGCTGTTTCAACGAGATGCGCAGGGCAAAGCCATAGTGGACATCATCAAGGACAATGGCATGATCCCTGGTATCAAGGTGGACAAGGGCTACAACAAGAAACTTGGATTTGCTGGTGATTATCTGAACTTCCCATTTGGTTAAGCCGCCAAAAAACAGGGAATCTACTGGGAATACCCAATACGGTAAGCTATTTTTCTTAAGCTATAGCAGAGCTATGGAAATCCATAGGTGTCCCGGGTCCCGTTCGGAAACGATCTGCTTGATCTGGTGGATTTTCTATAGTTCCGTTCGTTTACTGGAGGGTATCACGTGCTTATCCATCTATGAATTACCTGAAATTGGTAAATTGATTGTCTACGACCCAAATGGGAATCGACTTTGAACCACACGGAAATTCAAAATCGTATTAAATGCTGAGTTGGACAGGGTTTAACTCATGTAACGTGATTTAAACGATGAATGCTTAAATTTGTACTGAATCTTTTTGTTCCTTGCATCTTCGAGATCGCAACTCCAAGGAAGGGCATCTGGGGAACTCCGGTGGGCCCTTTGGGACACCCGGAGGTGGCCACTGTGGGCTTGGATGACCTACAGCAAAGATGCCACCAGGCGGTGCTCGCCACTGAAATGGGAAATCAGTCGAAACCATGGCAACTTTTTATGGCAAAGTATAGATGATCATATTTGTCATCTGCATTTGCATGTCTTCCCGCCAGGCCTATGAGCAGGGCGCCCGCTTTGCCAAGTGGCGCAACGTGCTGCAGTTGGACCCGGCGAAGCAAATGCCCACAGAGCTAGCGATCGCAGATTGTGCGCATACCTTGGCGCGCTATGCCTCGATCTCTCAGAGCGAAGGCTTGGTGCCCATTGTGGAGCCGGAAATCGTTCCCAATGGAACCACGACTGGACTTGGGGGTGATGGGTTGGATGGGATGGGTTGGGGGCCTGGGCTTGGGAGAGGCTGAACACAAGCAATGCTCACTAAGGCGATCATGAC